TTTTTATTCTATCACATATGTGATGGGAAATATGTTAGGTTAAACTTTTAGTTCACTCACAGCCTTAACTGTGATCTTGCAGAGTAGATTTTCCCAATATTGAACACTCTACTAAGCTAAAGATAAATTTGGCTAATGAAAGAACTAAAGTGAAAAGCTTGCACTATGTTTCTGATTTGATGATTTCCTTACAATCAAATCAGTGTTTTCTGCTATCTCTGTTCAATATTAATTTCTGGGATGCCTACCTAAATTCAATTTATTAATTCACTTGCCAAAATTCCACTATAGATGCCTTATGGCTTTATTTTCATAACATTTAGAAAGGGTCAAACTCAGAGAACATAAATTTTCTCCAGGAGGTTCAGTTGACATTTTAATGTGGACTACATTTGAACTCAAATGCCACACACATTTTTAAGACTGGTTCCTTGGATTCTCTCACTGGTACATTATGTTTCTCCCTATCCTAATTCTTTCACATTGCCTCATGTCTTAAATGAACCTGATTTTGAAGCTTTTTACATTTTACTTCCTGGGCTAATCACAGATTTGTAGGGAACCACATAGATGTTGTTAGTGTGTCTCTATAAATGATATCATACATTGATAAAAGTAAGGCAAACACTATGTTACTTAAATGTTTTAACCACCTCTAAATAGCCAGGTAGAAACATGATTTCACTGTACCATTTTTTTCATACCCTCTTTCATTGATCTTATGAAGATATCTATCTATCTATCTATCTATCTATCTATCTATCTATCTATCTATCTATATTGGTTAGCCAGTAAAATCAGGGGAAAGCAAAAAAGAGACTTAACTGACAAAATGCTCATGTACACCCAGATCTAAGTGAAGATGGAATTAGGGTCTTTGAGAACACAACTCATCACTTCCTCTCTCTATAGTGAAGACACATTGCCCTGCATCATACTCCATTCCCATTCTGTCATCTGGGGCTCAGCACTCTCAGAGCTTTCTCATGTCTTTTCTGGATTGTTCTTCAGCCATGTACCCTGCAGACACAGTGATATAAACAGGGTATATTATTATACCTTACCATAGGAATCTAACCAACCCGATTTTCTTACCACTTCTTCCAAAGCACCCTTTAGCCACCGCCCCCCCCTCCAAAAGAACCCGCTTTAATCCTGCCTTGGCATGTGGCATTCTCTCCGTGCTGGAATGTCCTCTCCCCTCCTCACTCTTGTCTCTCTTTGCCTGATGAACTCTTACTCATCCTTTAAGACTCTGTTTCAAATGTCACCTCATCTGTGGACCCTTCCTTGATTCTCTTAGACAGACTTAGTTTGCTTCTTCTATAGGTTCCCACAGTACTGTTTTGAGAAATCACCATTTGTGGTTTGCCTTCATGCCTCCTGCCAGAGGGTGAACTCCTCTGGGATTGGGTTTGTGTTTTCAGGACCTAGCGTGGGTTCTTACTCACCGTCGGCTCTCAATACGTTGTTCACAGACAAGCGGTTAGTGAGATGAAGAAAACAGTGTTGAGTGAATAAATGCCTCCATTTTAAAGTAAGATCCAGACCGGTGCTGAGAATTGTCATTCAGATTCTGTATCTTGTTATTGTCTTTATTCCACCAGCATGTGTACTTTTTCTTAGAAATATTTAAGACCAAGCTCCCATAGATGGGTCTTAATCTTAGAAACTGCCAAACAGGAAAACTCCCTCCTCATCCCCAGTAATTCAGCAAAACAGACTTAAACTTTATGTCGCAACTCTAGAAAAGAGCGTGGATTCACTGAATTTAAGAAATGAAATTGCAGATGAAAAATAAATACGGGGTATGTAATTCAGTTGATTATTTTTGTTATAAAATTCTATTGGTGCATGGAAATAGGAACAGATTTTCAGGGAGTTTGGTCATCAAGTAGAGATGACCATAGAATCTTGAAAATTGTTGAATTAAAAGCAAAAACATCATTTTGATCATTTAAAATATGTGGGTTCAAATACAATAATAAATAATAATACTGAAGGTTTGTTTATGAAACATTTTATCCTTCCAAAGCCTGGGAAGGATTTTCAAATTGTTTTAGGAGAACTTCTGAAAATATTAGTCCATGTTAGAAACAAAATCACATACCAGAAGGGCTGCTTTTTTAATTTAAGCTTATGATCTATCTTCTCCTAATAAATGTTTTTTTTTTAATTGATAAAATCCTGGAATATTTACTGAGGATTATAATGACTCTTTAAATTGGAAACTTGGAATTCTTAAAAAGGTATTTCAGATGTTTGTTATTGGGGTGGTGTTTAGTATTTGCCCTCACTAGAATAATAACCCAGATTTCTAGTCATTGGAAACGTTTTTTTTCTTAAAGAAAAGCATTTATTATTCATAAGATTGATGCAGCATGAAGATTCTGATGGTACTTTGGTGTGTAAGACACATCTGGTTCAGATCTGTGGAGTACATAGTCACTGCTGGGTTTTTTGTTTTGTTTTGGCTATATCTTCAAAGTGGTTTATTATCCACCGAGAGCCTAATGAATCTATAATAAATGTTCTGCTTATTGTGTCACTTGTAGGTACTGTGGTCTTTGGAACTGGGTCACTGGATTTCTGAGGAACCGTTTGAACTTTCTAACTACTTCCCTGCAGCTCCTGTAAGTCAGATGTTATTTTATTATGGTAAATACAATTCAGAATTCTCAGGAAATTATCATTTGCATAGGTATGGACTCAGGTGTTGATTAAGTCAAGACCAATTATGCTCGCAGTTAAAAACACATTTTCATAGAACTTTTCATAATACTTTTTTATCCATTTGTGAGAACAAATGTGGGAATGTGAGAATATTCTGCAAAAAATCGTATGGAATGAAATCTTAAAGAATTTTAATTATGAAAGTCCTCAGGATTGAGAAAAAGAAGAAATGAAAAAGGACTAGATTCTTGAGGAGGTGGTATGATGTCTTATTTACTGCTTTAAGAAATAAAGCTGTTACTGCTCTTAGAGATAGAACTGATAGGTATAAAAGTCATGGCCTGCTGGCAACATGATGCGGTCCTTATGTTCTGATGCTCTTCCCAAATGCAGCTTCAACTTTACTGCATTTTAAATTTTAAATATTTTGAATGCTTAATGGAAGTTCTAATTTTTTAAAAGATTAAGTAACAATTAAATAGGTAATTTCAGGTTTAATTGGAAGCAGGATCATGTAGATGTTGGCTCTCATTTTCAAAAAAGTTAACTGGTTTGTGACACAGTTTATGCTTTTGGAAGATTAATACCTCAAAGGGAAGTGGCAATTTTTATCTATGACCAGGGCTGGTGTTATTTGCTGTTATTTGAAGTATGCGTAGGACGTTACCCTCTCATCACTGATTTATCTAGGTTGTTGGGTTGCTTTTATTTTCATTTTTAAGATTATCGTTTTGATTTTCCCTCCACTTTATAAATATTTTCTTAAGGAAAAAAAACATTCCTCTTGGCAAGACTCTGTTTGATATACCACATAAGGAATTGAAGTGTAAAGACACAAATCCCCCCTACTCTCTGTCATAAGAGAGTATGCATAACTCTGTGTAACACAGTGCAGCATGTCTTTGAAATGCATTTCACCTGCCGGCGTGGGCACACGGTATCAAGTATGCTGTTGCCAATTTTTCCCATCTTATCACTGGTCCACCTCAGTGTCTGCCGTGTGGTCATCGAGACATCACAGAAACTTAGGGTTTCTTTTGCAGTGGAGATATCTTCTTATTACCAGATAATGTTTTAACTTGGTACAAAGCTGTGCTCTGTTGAATTTATAAAGCCTACTTAAATGTAACAAGAGAGACTGTTCAAAGATGGGGAGGTTCTTTCCTCAATATATTTGTCGGGGAAGCACAGTGAAGTGGTAGAGAAAGTGGCGTGCCAGACTCTTCCAGAGTCCATAAACTGACTCGAAACACGCAACAAATATTAGTATTCTCAAACGAAGTTGGGGTGGAGGCATATAGAGGGAAAATAAATTACATAAGAAAAAACGGAATAAAGAAAAAACATAGTCGAAGAATCCCATAAGGTGAAGACAGACATGAAGTAACTGCTGGTTTCAAATTTGGCCCTTAGCTTCCTAGCAGCAGCTGACTCCAAGGCAAACACATGAGAAATTGCTTCCAAATTATAAAGCATTACACGAGGTACATTAGTGTTAATTGTACTATGAAAACTTCAAATGGAGTTAAAACTCTAGGGGTTTAAAGTTTTTCAGCCCTCAGCTTAAATCCATGCTCTCAGAATTTTCTGTAAAGATTTGAATCTATTATAAACATCAGATTTTGGTTTTGCACTCCAAAATGCTTTTTTTTTTAAGTGTGCTGGTGGACACTAAAAAAAAAAAAAAAGACTTTAGGGGTGAATCTAGCTTTGTATGTGCTTTAAATAGAAGGTTTTTTCAACCACAAACTAAACTGTAGCCTACTTCTCTAAAGTATAACTTAATAGAAAAAAAAAAAGACCTTTGTAATAGAATAGTGAGGAAAACATAGTAAAGTCTCTTTGTCATGGAATTAAATGTATAATTTTCTTCATCATTAAAAATCGAATCTTTCCTTGTCATGAGGCACAATCAGTTGTTTCCGAATCAAATCACAAAATCGTATTATCATGAAGGTTAAATGTAATTATCTAATAATTTATATTTAATTACTAAAAATACCTTCATATTTAACAGCCAGGCAGAAAAAAAATAGTACAATCTTCATATAAACTGAAAGAACACAAATTTCTATTAATTTCAGAGATCCTGGAAGTTTTCACCATTTAAACTTGAAATATATATTTGAGCATTAACTTAAAACTATGCTGTCAACACATTCGTAAATATGCTGATTTCAAAATGAAAGTTTAAAGCACCTAAGAGGAGGAGCAAAAATGCGTTAACTATGTTTTTTCTTTCTCCAAATATTAAACTGCAAATAAGCACTTCCCAGAAAAATCCCTGAATATATAATATATTTTTATGGCTTAGAGATTTTTTTCTTCCTTTCAGTTACGATAGTGATGCTGAATTCAGGACATATGGATATTTACACAATCTATAAACAGGGCTTAGAAAAATGTAGCTCCAAGGTTATCTCTACTGTATAGCCTAAGTGTTCTGTTTTCCAGTTATTTACGGATGAACCCGGCACAACATTCTTGGTTGTGACAACAGAGTCTGTAAATTGTCAGTCTTAAATTTGCAGGCTTAGATTTATCTTCACATAGGCATTCTACCAGGTCACAATACCAGGGCTGTGCGTCGGTGCATGAGTGATGCAGGTTTGAGTGAGGAGGTTTTACGGGGCTCTAAGCTGGAGCTCATGGATCCCTGTGGCACCTGAGCGCATGCTGCCTCTCTGAGGTGGACGAGGGCACAGTATGCAGCCTTGTCTTTTAGAGCTTCAGGATTAGGTCTCTGAAAATAAGAGTAGTCGGCCACCACTCCTCAGGTGTGTGCAGGCATCTAGAAATCTGCTGGTCGGATCATCATGGTTGTGGCCTTGAGCGAGTAGCCTGAGCCTTTCCAGTAGTACCACTTAATACCGTTGAACTTATTTGTGTTCTGCTTCTGTGGGTAGTACATTCCGTTCAAGTTGGAGGGACCACATGCATCAAACCACCAGCCTGTGAAAGTAAGACGCAGAAGGAATTAGGAACTAGGTAACCCCAACTCTGTCTCACGGTGGCATTAGAAACACTCGACTAACCCCCCCGTCAAAATTCCGTGCATTTTAAGTAGACACATTGCAAAGATTCAGGGGTATAGAATGTGCCCCACTGACAGATGAGAGTGATGGTTTTCCAGCTTTACCCAAGTTAAATCCTAGTTCCATATGGCAAATGTTTTTATGGGCTGTTGTACTCCGTTTTCCTTGTGTGGAAAGACCAGTCACCCATAGACATGCATGGCACATCTTCCCTGGTCCTGATTTGGTGATCACCAGAGTACAGTGGAAAGTGGGGATAAGTCAAAACACTGAAGAATGGTTGGGTGACCCTCACTGGATTACTTTCTGGTTCCAGCAACTTAGTGGACCAGACGGATTCAGGCTTCCCTCCTTCTACCAGACATTTTTTTTTTTTAAATGATTCCAAATTTTAAGAATTCAGGGGAGCTAGATGAAAAGGAAATCTTTAAGTCCTAGAGACAAAAAGGAAATTGAAAGATAGTGGTGTGCTCACTGAGGTGAGGGGAGCTGCCTGGCACAGCAGCAGGGGGAGGGGTGGGTCTGCATCGACACCTGAATGGCCATGCTTGGGGTTTTGATGCTTTTACCTAGAAACAAGAGTGTGCCAGAAGCCCTGGTTTTCAAGGAGAAGGAATGACCTAGATCTACATAATCTAAATAAATCTTAGACATTGTGTTGGGAGTACACATACAGTACGATGCCATTTACGTAAGATTTTAGAATATAGGAAAAAACAACTGTTCATGGTATCCGCATACTTAGCACAATAAATAACTAATCTGAATGAACCTGAATTCATTGCTCACCCCACAGGCAGGTATTGGCAGGACAGCTTTAGTTGTATCTGTGAAGTTTTATTTCTTTAAATAAAAAATATTTTGATGTAATGATTATATTTACACATTGGACTGTGATGATCGATTATTTCATCCAGTTACAGCTCATGTCTTGAGCAGATTCAGATTAACGTCGATTTGATAAGACATTTGTGTGTGTTATTCAGAAACCTTGAAAATATTCAGGAATGTTGCAGATTTATAGATCTGTCCGCCTTAGAGCCCGTTGGCTGACGTAGCTATAGAATTTGCTGTCCCAGCAAAAACCTAGCTGATCATTAGCCTGGTTTGTCCAGGGCCCAGACAATGGGCTGGGGCCTGAAATCCTACTGCTTCACTTTCTCTCTTGGGCTGTGTGTTTCTCCCCAGTCTCTCCCACTTCTACTCCCAGCCCTAAATCTTGATTCGAGTAAATAAATATATTGTTTCCTTGGTTATTAATGCACTTCTCCTAGTCTCTTGAGTAGCTCATGACATACGGGTGGTCTAAAAACCACCGCCCTCTCAAGTGGACAGCTGGGTTCAGTGTGGGAATGGTAGATGGGAAAAAAGGATTCAGTACATTTGGTCCCCCCAACCCACCCCTTCTCCCCTTTTTGTTGGCTTCAAAAAGGTTGAGGGAGACAGTCAGCTTTTACACAATCAATATAATAGCTCTCTTTCATTGAAATAATTATTGAAATAAATATGGCTAATAGAGAAGACCTGTGTTGCCAGTATATATTATGTGGATACATATAAATATATTATCTAAAGAACCACAGGACCGATTTTTTAATGGATTCTAATTCTTTCAGTATTATTTTAAAGACAGGAAAATTATTGAATTTCAAACTATTTTCATAAATAAATCCTTTCTCTTGACTGTAAATGATTCTTCACTGATGTGCAAACACATGATAAGCTTAGGTCTTGTTTATGTAGTTACCTTATATTTGTCAAATAAATTGACCACAGCTCTTACCTTTTTCTTTCCTGGGTGAGTAAAGAATGAATTTTTGGCAATATAATTTCCGGTCTCTACAAATTAAACCCTGCCAACTTCCTGTTTGCCTTTACATTGTTTGTACTGTCAGCAGAATTTTTGTTGCTGGTTTAAGTCTTTCAATATTTTTGAGAACTCACTTGATAGCATTTGTCAAGCTTTTTTCTTGTCTCGGTCACAATTAAGTGGTTCTGGCCATTCGATTTTTAAACTTTTAGAAATTGGAAGAGTAAATTTTCTAGCAGTTGGTCCCTGTCATTGAACTTTTAAATGTTGCTGGATACTAATCTGGCCATTTTAAGTGACTGTTTAAAATAGTCTCTTGTTTCTGGGTGTGGTTTCAATTTTTTTTTTTTTTTTAGAGCCGTCTGATATGAAAGGTAGGGAGCAAGAAGCGCATGAGCATAAACACCATGATTTAAAGTGGACAACTGTTCATTTTAATTTGGTGCACTAAAAAGAAAAAAAAAGCAGGTTGGCTAATTAGTTTCTTTGTAAGTATTTGCTGTATATTAATGAAATCTTTAAAGAAAGATACCTGGAAATTCCATGTTTGCACAATGAATTATTAATTAGAAACTCTTCTATGCTAATGTATCTATGTCACTGTTTTGGTTGCCGTTTTGAATTTTTAACCTTCTTAATAAAGCAAAATGAAATTAAAGTGTAGCTCTGACATCTGCTACTCAGCAAGCACCAGCTCAAGAGAGCTTGCTGGATATCAGATGTCCCCTCTCTGTGCCAGAGTGAGGTCCTGAAGAGACACAGTTGGCCTGCTGACAATTCCAGCTCCGTATCACAATCTTAAGACTCAACAGTCTGAAAAGGTGAAAAACAAATCTCCCTACATCTAGTAAGTCTATTTATGAAATGTGGACATTGTCACCAATCACAAGTTCAAGTCCAAATAGCCAACCTTTCACTCTATGAAATTCTTCCTTGCCAAAACAAATAGGAAGAGAGAAAAGTCATCCCACCTCCTGTGAGCATTTGTGAACATTTGCAAATACATTTGTCGTTGTCTGCATCCTTTGTGCTAAAATCATTTCCTGGTTGGCTTATGCTGCTTATTTTGCCGGCTGTCCCTGTAAGTCCTTTAAGGTGAATCCTGCAAGCATGCAAAGAAGAAAAAAAAAAAGAAAAGAATATAACATAATTGGCTTGGGCTGTTGATTTACCGTAGTGGAAAATTTTTTATAATGAAGAATTCCATTCTGCAGAAATGCATTCTGTACTGGTTAGTGTACTAATATGTACTCTGGACAAAATATTTTTGCACTGGTATAAACAGGAACCAACTTATCATCAAATCCTTAGGCAATGAGGAATGTTTTCATGAAACCTTCAGCTCGTGTCACTTGCACAAGCATCAGCAGGGGCTTCAGGGCCCACTGCTTTCAGATAAACAGGAGGGGTGGAAATACAACGTGAAACGGTCCCCTTTCCAGGTCTCCAGGCATCATCCATACAGGAATGAGGGTCTTGAGATAACCAGACAACTTCAAGCATCATGATTTTCAGTGGGGTGGTAGGGATGGGCAGGCTAGTAGGCAAGGAAAGGATCATTGAATTTGGAATAGAAACCTACAGAACTATATAGAAAATACATTCTTATTGGCTGCCTTGCCTCATTTCTGTAGAGTATTGTAATAAACTCGCTAGACATTGAGAAATGAATAAATGTGATACTAAGTTCGACACTAGATAATAGCCCACACTTTTAGAAGATTGCAAAAATCTGGCTTGCATCAGTGATCTGTGTGCCAAGGAGGAGAGAGAAGGGACAGAGAAAGTATGGTAACACTGCTTCAAGAGAGCCCATGGGCAGATTGGCACAATACAGCTCAGAGCAGGGCTTCATATGCTGGTGGGTGCCACTGCGCGATGTGGACTTACTGTGTGGGGACATGGGGTATGGCAGTGTGGGAGCCCGGATCATTGAGTCTTCGTGACCCGGGGATCCTACAGAACGAAACCCTGTGATGTCCCGGGGAGAATTGTACTCTGAGTCCCCAAAATGATGCTCATCTTTCATTAAACCACTACCTTGAAAGGAATATGATTTCCAAGAATTCATGTTGGAACAGAGGGTAGAGAAGAGAGGAAAGGTTCCCCAGGGACTGTCTCTAACCAGACCGTGCCAGGCACTTTCACGGGTATATGCGTGGAATGCACGTACCAGCCCCGAGAGTCAGGCGTTTCTTCTGTTTTTACGTATAAAAATGTTGAGGTTCCGAGATAGGAGTGTGGTAGAGCTAGAATTTGCACCAGATGCATCTAACTCCTCTGTTATGGTTCTACCCTGGGGGACCTTTATCAGGGATGTTTGCTTACCGAGGAGGGGTTATGCAAAGATGGGGGTATGGAGGGTGCCAAATGGAGTTCCATAAAGTGTTGGTTCTTTTTTTTTTTTTTTTAAAGATTTTATTTATTTATTTGACAGAGAGAGAGACAGCGAGAGAGGGAACACAAGCAGGGGGAGTGGGAGAGAGAGAAGCAGGCTTCCCGTGGAGCAGGGAGCCCGATGTGGGGCTCGGTACCAGGACCCTGGGATCATGACCTGAGCCAGAGGCAGACGCTTAACGACTGAGCCACCCAGGCGTCCCCATAAAGTGTTGGTTCTAAGTTGCTTTTGTGTTAATGACTTAGATTTAAAATTGTTTTTAGTACTGTAGCTCTAGAAACCATCATAAGGCACTGGCTGAATTTCTGAATTTCAGTGTTATCCTCACGTTTCAAAAATGACCCTACCCTGGTCCCTGGCATAGCCTCTAATTAACCTGCTGCAAAGCATTTATATAAGTTCTCCTCATCCCTGGGATTTTGAAACACTTTAATTTTTTTCCAGGCCCTTCTCATTAATCACAGATAGGGTTGAGATAAACCGCTTTGCTTGTCATTACTCCTTTCTAGCCTCTTCTCCCCTTACAACAATGTCAGTTCTCGTGGGACTCATGAAACATCCCCAAAGTGAAGCAGAATCTGGGAGAACGTGACCTTTTATTTGTCTTTATGAGAAAGGTTGTATCATTTTTAGATCCTTCTCTTATAGGGCCCCCTGGTTTATAGTTGGTTTCTTTTAAATTTGGTTAATAAGAATAACCACATTTCTTGAAATTGCTTTATATTGCTATCAGTTTGAGTTTATAGAACAGTGGAAGGTAAGAAGCAACGTCAGCATTGAATAATGAAATCTGCATTTTTGAATAGAGCTGCCAGAATGTTTGCGAAGAGTGACCAGTCTTCAAGGTTTAACATACAAGTAGTTTTTAGTTTTAGCAAAAAAAAAAAAAAAAAAAAAAAAACTGTTGATGCATTTGTCCTTTCCTCATGACATTTATTTTTCAGTTTTCCAGCATTTGGAGGACACTTCTTTGGAAAAAACCCAAGTCCATGGCTGCAGACAGTGGTATTCTAAGACACCTGTGTTATTTACTCAGCCATGTCACAGTCCCTTATCACACCACCGTGTTTTACTGGGACAGTAATGGTTTCGATGTATCTGCCGTATCCCGCCACATAGATTAAACCGAGCTTTAAATGAATCTGTGCTCTTTTAAATGGTGTCTGCCAAAACTGATCGCGTTTCTAAAGGAAGTATCTGTTAAGAGCCATCTCAATTTAAAATATTTTTATAATGTCAGCATACAAGGGTAATGACCCATTTTGTAAAATCTCCTTATATAAAGTCTAATCCTTAATTTTTGTGTTTCTTTTTTTTAATTTTTTTTTTTCAATTCCTCTGTTGTAAATTCCTAACTGTTGCCAGTTGAAAAAATATTTAGCTTGGAGGTAAAACAATGACCAACCACTCGTGTCTAAAAATTCATTGAAGTTTTGATCTCTTTGGAGTCAACTTGGGGCTGCAGTGAGGCCCAAACACCTATCTTTTCATTCATCTGCGTCACTCCCTCTCCAAGGAGCCCTGCTCTCTCCGTAATGAGAATCGATGGGCTCTGTTTCACTGACTGTGTAAAAGTCATGTCAGTGCTCGTGGTACGTGACCATCTTCAAAATTTTGACCTCAACCCCACCCCCGTTTCTAAAGCAGGACCTACTGGACATTATATGGTTCTCAGGTAGTTCAGGCAAGCTGTTCACCTTGTGTTTCTGTGCCGTTTATTCACTGTGGCCCCTAGGAAGCCAGCTCAAGGACTTTGCAATCATGTTTATTTTCCAGGCTGTTCAGATTTTGGACTTTCTGTCGAGCAGAGGGTCTGAGTTGGGCGTTAATGAGATTTAGGTGGGACTGTAGGCCACATATGACTGTTTCCTGGGATGTTCCTACTGAACTTGGTTGGTTTCTGACCCCAGTGCAGGTATTTTCATGATGTGTGTGCCTGTGTTCTTGAGACTCCGTCAGGGCTGTGTTGGTGACTGAATCTGAGGCCCATTCCTGTGGTGCCACCCTCCGGCCCTGCAGGTGGGTTTCGGGGCACCTCCTTCCACGAGGCCATGTGCAGGTATGTGCTTTTTTGTGCCATACACAATTGCTTGTCAGGCACCGGTCTTTCAGTGCCTCCGCTGCTCTCCGCCTCTACTCTCTTTCTGGCTTTAGAGCCAGAAACTAAATTCTGAGTCAGGGATGCCCATGCTTGTCTTGGAACATTCAACACGAGTGCCGCCAAATGCGTGGGGCAAGGCAAATACTGAGGGAGGGCTGTGAATCGGCTGTTGTTTCTACCTCAGAGAGTAAAGGACTTGCATGACTAACCCTCCCACCTAACTCTGCCACTTTTAAACTTGGTAACTCTTCCTGACTTCGGGATGGAACATAACAATCAAGTGTGCTTGAAGTGCAGAAAGATATATTTAACTGTTAAAACCTTTTGGAAGAAAACCACATAGTCATAGGTAGACCTCTGTTACGATATTGGCATGACATTTTCTAATACGGACACAGCATTCACACATTTTATAAATACTTGTTTAATGCCTGTTATCTGCGAGGCAGGGTTCATCTTTGCTTTGAGGATACACAGCAGAGACAACAGACAAAATGCTGTCCTCGTGAAGTTTTCCTTGTATCATTAAAACCAAAGTTAGAATTTTAAAACTAGACCAACTTCCTGAAAGACAGCATAGAACTGTAAGAAACGAGATGTTTTTCCATTTAGGGTATCCTCCAAGTACTTCAGATTCTGGTTAATGCAGTGGGGCTCTCACTTTGTGGAATGCTCACCCAGCAAATCTGTTAATATTTTTCAGTTACATACAACTCACCTGTAATTAAGTTCTTCACCGGAGAGATAGAAATGTTCATACAGTGAGTACGCCTCGTTCCCTTCCCAGTCTTTAAGGTGTATTTTAAGCACATAGGGCCGTTGATTGGTCACTTGGGAAACAAACTCATTTCCCAGCCAGTGTTCACCGGAAGGGTTCCCAAATCCCTGCAATCCAAGTGGTAAAACTCAGTCACCTCATTTATTTGTTTTTTCTTCATGTATTTGAAATCAATAGTCTATCCATTTAACATGGGATAACTGCCAGATAGTCAGCAGAAATTCTTTCCTGCCCTCTGAAAATTTGGGGTCTTCCATATAAGAAACATTTTTTTAAAGGTCAGTTTTAAGAAACCAAGCTTCTACTGAAAGAAAATTAGGACTAGAGTAATTAGAACTACTTTGGGGAATCACCAATAGAAACATGAGCGTAAACAGCTCGGTTTATTGACATGGGAAGTTCTGTGAAACTGTTGGCTTACCGAAAAACGCTGAGCCTGCCATTAAAAATAAGCCTCGCACTTGCATGCCTTTGTTTTGATATATAGTTTACTTTACATTGACAGGGTCATTCGTTAGTGGGGAGACTGAGACACCAGTTAAGAGGAACGCTTTGATAACAACAGTTGTCAACAGTCATTGGTTAGTTTTGGATTTGTGGGGAAGGTTCTGCAGATTTTGAAAGTTAGTTTTCACAAGAAAATTATTTTCAGATGGCTTAAAGACTATTCATACCGCTTTATATTCTTTCCAAGTCTTCTGAAAATCAACACTGCCATCTTCACGCCGCTGAATGACCGTCCACCCGCCTCCAGAGGTTTCCATGTCGCAGTATGCCTGCCAATGGGAAGCGCACAATTACTGCGTGGGAAACACCAATGAGTCAGGGCTGTGTCCGAACTCGCAGAAACAAGACCGATGTGGATACCTACAATATGACTTGTGCTGATGGGGTTCCCCAGGGTGAATCTTTGTGGTCTTCCAAGAAGCAGATGGTTTTAAATGAATTGAAAACCATGAATTTAAAATGATGATGAAAAATAAACAGTAATATAACACGATTTTAATGTCGATGAGAATAGCACTTTCTTGTCATCATCTGTTCTGGGCTAAAGACCCACCCCAATTGCTGACCCAGAGATCGCTGTTTCTTAGAGATTTATTGTGATTGGGACATCTTGGTGGTTTGGCCCCAAACCTCATCTCCGACCTGTAAAAATCTACAAGCTGGTGTTCACAACTCCAGAAACCTTTATGGTAGTTGTCCGTCCTTACTAACTCCTCAGAGAGTTGTGTAGAAGGAGTACTTTTGCACTGTAGGGTTTCCAAGACCCCTGTTATATTATGCTGTGGGGTTAGAAGGCTTCTTCCATGTGGGATAAAAGTCTGATTTCTAGGTTCGTCCCTCGGTATGAGAGATCTGAGGCCCCTGGGTACCCAGAATGATGTATGTGACCTGAGAGTAGCCTGGCAGCTCTGCCCCACAGATCAAGCCTTCAAGCTTCTTTGCACTTTGCTCACTGCCTGTGGTATTTCTCCTCCTAGCTCTTTTTATTTTTGCTTTTAAACTGGCTTGGTGGGTTTAAACTTTGTCCAGAACACAGAATTCCTTCTTGGGCCAGGAGCATGCAATGCTCACTTTCCACTCAGCAGGAGTTTTATTATGAAATTAAAAACCCCTGCAAATAAGATTACATAAATAGTTTTAAATAATGAGATTATAGTAGAACGAAAAATTTTCCCAGAAATTCTGTTAAGATAAAATTTCCTACAACATACGAGGTAATAAATATGAATGTTATCACTCAAAACCAATTAGAAATAGTCTTCCTCTGCTGTTTTCCTCAGTCTTTTTGGGAAATAATGGAGATAATTTTGGCAGAGTAAGTTTAAATGTGAACTATTCTGCATTTGTGAGTTAAAATCCTAAAGAATGGGGGATAAAAGAGAACCAAGAGCACACCCAGACCCAGGCTCCAATTTTCAGTGCCTTGTCTGATGTCTCATTGCTAATGAGACAGAGAGCTGCCCTGGGGACCCAGCTCCCTGTTCTCCAGCAGATTTCCCTCCACCGCTCTTCCCACCTCTCTCCACAAAGGTCCCTTGGCCCATATTGTTTTCCCTGATGATCCTTACGTTTGGGAACATATGTTCCATTACAGAAGATTGCATTTATTAAGAGTAAAATGATTTCCCCATTTTAAATTAATCAGACAAATAAAATTGACCTGCTTAAGGTGACCCCTTATTATCTCCCTGTATTGATATTATTCTTATCATTAATTATCTTGTTATCATTGGTATGCACCACTCTGTTCCAAGTACTGCACTGGGTACTTGGCATATATTATATGCAATCTTGAAGCAACTCTGTGATACTGTAATTCTGCATTTGTGAAAGGAGGAAGGATTTAGTGAAATATTTAGTAAAGTTAGATTAATTTGACCAGAGTCATTTAATTATTAAGTGGAATATAGGACTTGAATAAGGTCTCTTAAATTCCTCATTCTACCTTCTTTTCTACCATAGTAGGCTGCCAAAAACAGAGAAACTTGACCCTTTTGTTAATAGGCCAGTCCCTCAGTGCAGCTCCAAGTTGAAATCAGTTCATGAATAATACTGCCTCTAATTTGCCTGTGGTCCACCCAATGGTCAATACTGCTCACTTCTCTCAATATGTCTTCTAAAAAAAAAATAGTTTAGTAAACTAGCTGAACAAGCTAGTTTAAGGAGTTTTGTGTGTACAGACCAGTTATTTCCTCTGTATCCTAAATGGCATGCTGGTGGGTGGAAAAACCGGATATGGTTTCTAGCGAGCCTATCCTTGTTCCAAGAATATTTGATTCTTTGCTGTAAAGATCACCATTATAAAGTCATGGATACTTAAATCACAGAAGAAGTTTGTCTTCGTGCGAAAATCAGAGTCCAAACTAGCTGAGAGTCACCGCCCATGTGGAAATGGGTTGAGCCGTACCATTGTCTAACTCCACCAGGGACAACGATGAGATGATTAGAACATTTCCTTAATATCTCTTTGTTCCGATAAAAAGAAAAAAGGAACAAAGAGTTCATAGAAACTAAAGTATCATGGTTAACTGAGTCGTGAAACTTTCAGAGGAAGATAGTGTTCAAAGAGAGTTGTCCATGTAGCCAGAGGGCACTGAGTGAAAATGATGAAATGGATTATCTCAGCATCAGGAAAGCGGACTTCCTCAGAGAATGCCCAAGACCTCAGCGCTCCAGCTACCACAAACCTGAGGGCGGTTAGTGCTTTTGTTAGCACACTGTTGCATGGTTCAGGGACCTGGTATCTTGCTCTAAAACTTGAAGACTTTCAGTGTATAATGCCTGATTTAAATGTCATGCTTCGGTTCTGAGGCCATGGTGAATGACTGATGAAATAGTAATCACACAGATAAATACTAGGAGACAGGTACCCTGTGAAATTTGGGAAAGGAAATTATTATGTCTCTGACCAGCAAAAACAAACTCAAATGCCTTTGATGCAGTTTTTATCTTTTGCAGAGCCCTAATGAATTTTTCAAAAATAAAGTTGAAATGTGTAGGCCCTTTTGGGGAAAATGTCGGCCCGAAGATCTGTTGAACATTCTTTTCCTGAATTAGATGAAACAGGACAAAAATGGCTGCCCTTTCATGCAGAGAAGTCGTCTTATAAGTCTTTGGGGGCAGTCAAAATGGTAAACAATTCCCATTTCTCAAGTAGATGGTTAAGTACTGAGTCCTGTCCTAAGTGCTGTATATCCATTGTCACCTCAAAATCTCTCTGTAAGACCAGGGTTACTTCATCGCATTACAGATTAGGAAACTGAGGCCTCACACAGGGTAAATGATGTGCTCAGAGGCACAAATACGCAGAGCCAGAATTCAAACGCAAGTCTCTCAGACTTTTTCTCCCTCGATCAGATTGTGAATTATGGGATCTTAAGTCTGGAAGGGAATCTAGAATCTGGACTTAATCTGGACCATTTATTTTAGAGATTGAGAAACTTGAGGTTTGGTAAGATTGTTGTTTCCTGCTGTGTCGATGAGTTATTTTTACTGCAAATGTTTAAAAGAAATATAAATCCTAATGTTTCCAACCATGACCTGAGGCTCGCATCGTCCCACAGTATTATATATTTTCATCTTGTTGTTTCAGTGAGGCCATTGGGCTGACATAGTGCTCTGGGGTGGGAGCATTGCACTGAGTCAGGAAAACATTTATAGAGCAGTTGGTTGGTGCTGTGTAATCGGCGGTTGCCCTCTGGATTTGCAAAACATTCACGTTGCACCGATATCCTCTGTCCTCCTCCAGCTACCACCCCTGTCCCCATTGCTCTAGGCCAAGAAGAGACGAACATCTGGTGACAGACAGTAGTATACAGAGCATTGTTATGAAAACCAGACTGCAAAGGGGATTGAGAGCCTTCCTACAGGATTTGTTCATTACTTTCTCATCTGCAGCAGACTATTTATGTTTTGTTTTGTTTTTCTCGTCCCGCTAATGCACTGCTTCTAGAGCACTGGGTACATTAACTGATTTCCAAGGTTGATTTAAAGCAGCATGAATGAACTAGAAAGATTTTCTTTGGAAAGTATTATCTTCAATAGCACAATATTTATCTTTTAAATTCATAATCAAAGTATATGCTACTGTTTCAAATTCTATGTCCTTAAAACCCTTAATGCTTAGATTTTTTAAAGTGTTTTCTCTTATTAGCATTTTAAATACTGAGGATAATACTGAGTTCAAAGAGATAATGGTTCCAGGAACCTCTAAAATTTCCATTTTTATACAGTATCGATGGCCTTTTCTATAAGTGTTTACATTGGTTCAACTTGTAGCAGTTACAATGAAATGCAGACATATTTATAAGCATATAATATATGCAGTCATCTGATAATTATGTAACACTTCACACGGAATCTCCTGTAATATTTTACCTTATCAGACCTCTCTGAGAAGCCACATTGTAATATTCCCTGGGGCTGTGTGTTGTTTTTTTTTTTTTCCCCTTCATCTAAAGCTCAGTGTCTCCCAGAGCAACATCAGGAGCCATGCTCACTGAGTAATCCAGAATAACTAAGAATAATTGAGTTAAGCTATGTACTAACTCTTCCTGATGGTAAGTTCTGGTTGTTGGTTCAGTTTCCACAAAGTAATTGAGCTTATGCCTTGAAATAAACTCCAAATACTTGAGAAGAAAATGAGCCACACTCTTTGATGGTGTGTTTTAAGTCTTCCAGCCTACATTAGATGGGGTACAAATAGCCAACCCCAGTGATCCTCATAGTGTGGCCTGCAGACTCCTGGGGGTCCCTGAGACCCTTGCTGCAAGTCCACAAGGCTGACACTGTTTCCATAATGACACTGAGACGTTTTTGGCATTTGACACTGTGACAGCGTTTGCACTGATGGGGCAGAGTCGCGGGGGGGGGGGGCGTTGGGTGGAGACTGCCAGCACCCAAGAATGAATGAAGGGAATAGCCCACCCTATATTTGAGTCACTCTATGCTCTAGGCACACCCTCGCAACTGGGGAAAAAATAAGTCGATTTCACTTTGGGATATCTTTGACAAAGCAGTAAAAACCACTAATTTTAGTAAGTCTCTCCTGCTGAGTACATGTCCTCTTATATGTTCTATGATGAAATGGGAAATGTCTATACATCCCTTATGCAAACCGAGGTACCATGGTTGTGTCCAAGGAAAGCTTTTTGTCTGTTTTCGCTGTGAGCTAAATGAGACTTTTTTTGATGGAATACCGGTGCTCCTTGAAAGAACAACTGACGTACAAACTATTTGGTTATTTGAACTCTGGTATTTGGAGGATATTTGCTTGAAAAGCAATGAAATGAGTTTGACACCTGAAGAGAAACAACTGACAGCCTGACGATTAAGTCAAACACAAGGAGAAAATGAGACTGATGTATCTTCTCATGATGCCATAGAAATTTCTACGTCGTTGACATCCCCGGTTTGTATGTGTATGTGGTGACTGGATGTGGAGCCCTTGGCAGGTGTTCTGTGTGAGGCAGATGCTCCGTGAATGTTTGTTGCTTGGCTCTGCATGAAGTTGGGAAGGGTCTGGGTGTGTGAACTGCATTATGTGGTTCCTCTGCTTCTCAAATAAGCTGTTTACAGCCAGGCAGCTGAAACCAGGAGACTAACACCGTACCTTGATCTCCTCTGTGGAATTAGGGAATGTGAGCGTGTAGATGCCGTTGGTTGTCAGTCCTGACTTGAATACTTCCGCACAGTCTCTGAAAATGACTTGCTCTTCCTTAACATCAAAGGAGTTCTTAGCTGCTTAAAAAAAAAAAAAAAATAGGAAAGCATTTAACGGGGGTTCATGAAAAGATAAAAGTGTATTATTTCGAGATGCACTCAAGTTTTATTACATTTGAATTCTTATAATAGGTAGAAAGGACACACCAGTTTTTATCCTTTCCAAAAAAATTACTCCTTCAGTCTGTTCTCCATTAATTCTCAAAGATTATCACCAGTAATCCATACTTCCTTTTTTCATCATCAATATGGAATGCAAGTACTTTACAATTAACTATAGTAAACAATTACTTTAAGAAAAACCTTCCGTCTTGAGTAGAATCACTTAAAGTTATTGCAAAAGAATAAAAAAAGAATGTATCTAAAAACAGTGTTCCCTCTCCAGAGGCTACGTGGCATGTCCCATTAGCCATTATCCTATCCAGGCTGGGGATGTAAATTTTCTCCTTTTTTTAAAAGGTAAATATCTGAGAATAAGTCTTGATCCATTTCTTTAGACTATTGGATAAAGATATTAAAAATATTCTTTGGATTTTTAGCAACTGTCCCATTATAGTTAGTGTTCAAGAGGAGCCTACCATTAATTTATCTATGTCTTTGAAATTCTTACTCTAAGTCTAAAAATTCTAGGATTATGAAATTCCTTCAGATTTTTACTCTGCTCTCAACATGTAGACTTCCCAATCCTTTTTGCCATAAAAAAGGGTGTGTGTGTGTGTGTGTGTGTGTGTGTGAGTGTGTGTGTGTGTGTTCCTGCAGGTATTTATATCCATTCCAGAGACCCAGCAGAGCATGGGCGTATGGATTAGATGTGTGGGTAGGCATCACAGGTAGACAGAGGTTCGACCTTCACATCAGCTAGAGGTGCACGGGGAAAAGAAAGCCTCTTCTACTACACTCTCTCCTGTACTTTTTTCTGCCAGGATTTGAGCTGCATGATTTTTCTACTCTGGCTCATCAGAGTTAACACCTCACATTATCCTGCTCTCACCAGATGTCAGATGATTGTCTTTTCCTTTTCTATGAATGTGAAAAAGTACTGGGATAACCGCATGATTTGAGGACGATGTGAGAACATATTTCTTATGAAAGTGAGGAATATCTTCACATGATTCATATGCAAAATGTCTCTGTGTCAAAAGAATCCAAGTTTAAAGGACATTGGGAAATAAACCATAGTAAGAACTAGACCCAGTTTGCTTAAGGAAAAAAAAAAAAACTTAAAATGACAATGCCACACAGATTGTATATCCCATTTCTAATTAATGACTGAAGATGCCTCCCTTCTCCCCTCCAAAATAAAAAAAAAAAAAAATGAAAGGTAAAACAGTAATAAAGTAGGCAAAATATATCTAAGGACGAGCTGAGAGAAGGGAGCAGACATTTCTCGAGTGACAGTTTTATGCCAGTCAGTGCAAGTATTAAGTCAGTCTTCACAACAGTCCTCTGGGTTTAGACTTGCTTTTCTCACCCACCTCCCCTCTGGTTACCATCTCTTTGTTCTCTGTAGTTAAGAGACTGTTTTTTGTTTTCTTTTCTCTTTCTTTTTTTCTTTGTTTGGTTTCTTAAATTTCCACATATGAGTGAAATCATATGGTATTTGTCTTTGTCTTATTGGCTTATTTGGCTTATTTGCCTTTGGCAAATTCCATATATAATGGAATAATATATATATATATGGAATAATATATATACATATATATGTACATATATATATGGAATAACATATATATATATTATGGAATATTATTCAGCCATAAAAAAGAATGAAATCTTGCCTTTATGACAACATGGATGGAGCTACAGAGTGTTATGCTAAGTGAAATAAGCCAAAGGCAAATAATGGAATAATATATATATGTATATAATACACATCTTCTTTATTCATCTATCTGTGGACACTTGGGTAGCCTCCATAATTTGGCTATTGTAAATAATGCTGCAATAAACATAGGGGTGTGTATATCTTTTTGGGTTAGTGCTTTTGTATCCTTTAGGTAAATAACTGGAAGTGGAGTTACTTCCTCCTTTTTTAATTGGTTCTCTGATGAGACCCTGTAAAGCTTTCATAGGAAACATGTAAGAGAAATAGTCCTTTACAGAAAGATGAGAATTTTTTGGAATTTTGAGAGTTTCACTTACAAAATAATGGCAATTAAAGCTGACGGAAAAAATGATATGTAAACTTGACTTACAGTTTGACGTTGATATCATAGTCAATAAATTATGAACTGTCTCCATCAGATCATGTTGCTGCTTTTGGAGAACCGAATTATTCACTGTGGCGGTCACCAGTTGTTTTTCTAGTTCTTCAATGATGGAATTTTGCTTGGATACTAACACCTGGAGCTGATCTTTCTCTTCTTTTATTGACCGTAGTTGAACTATATGCTTGTCTTCCATGTCTAGTACTTTCTTTTCCAGGAAACTTGTAAAGGGAAATAATGGTTAGTTTAGTGATTGCTTTATGGACATCAAGTCAGTTTCATAATTCTTATATCATCTTTTATGTTTATTGAATTTCTGCTTCTCTAAGACACTCTGTCTACACAGTGAAGGTATTGCCACAGCCCTGAAGAAGCTCTCAAACTTGCCAAGAACGTTAGATAAATAAGTATGACAGAGATGTGAGGATAAAATACCCTGGCAAAGATGTACGGTCTGCAATTAGAAGTCATCACATGGAGTATTTGAAGACCATGGTTTTGCTGTAGGGGACCATGGAATTATGCACCAAGAAGGCAGCCTCAGTGTTGGGAGCACACGGGGGCGGGTGGAAAGCTGAGCAGAAAGCCCAGGCTGAGAGCCTCACGTCTGTGCATGACTCCCTGTGTTACCTGGCCGTCCCCACTCTGGATCTCAGGTGCATGTCTACCTAAGTGAATACTCACCTGTAGAAATAAATATTGAAAACAGAGGCAGTAGACTAGAGGATGATCTCTGAGGTCCCTTCTAGTTCAAATAACCTGTAAGCCTGCTGTGCCTTTTTGGGGAAAGTCAGATTTTCTGCATCTTTAACCCTGCAAGCAACATGGCTCAGCCAAGAAGCTGACTATACCCGCGGTAGGTCTTACCTATAAGCATTAACGATCAGTTTTAATAATTATTATTAGAAACTCAACTGCAGCTCTTAAATTTCTCCCAGCCTAGGTCATTGCAGATCAGTATATGACAGCAAGTATTCGGTCAGTATACCAAGTCAAAAAATAATCACTTACTGTAATGCATTTATTTGCATTCCACTTTCATGAGTGTTATCACATTTATTTTTAAACTGTTATTTCTTATTTTTCTTGATATTAGCCAGCTTACTTTTTAATTGTCTATCCCTTTTATTAATTTAAAAACCAAGATGACTTACTGTAGGCAGAAGTTAACCTAAAAATAAATGCGTACAGTTTTTCCGTTTTTGCCCTAAAATCACTTTCTAGTACCATCAGCGTTCAGGCAATATGCTTTGGAAGCGCTCCTGTGATGCTTGACCTAGACAATTAACATAAAATAAATGGGGCATTTTTAAGTTACTAATCTATGCTGCCTTCAAAATGACATTGCTGAAATTTGTTATCCAGTTGTTTTTTGTTGTCTTTAATATTCTGTGAGGAGGCATAAAATAAAGATGGGACGATCCTATGGTCCAGAGCGTGAACACTCCTGGGTGGATATTTATTTAAAAAAAAAAAAAGTTTCTTTCTCCAAAACCTATTACCAGTATAGCTCCAGAGGGCAGTTGCTTCTTGATCTAAAAATAGTTAATATTAAGGTAAAATACAAGCCTGGATTGAAGAGTTTAGCCCAGCATCAGGTCACCCCAAATCACACTGGCTCTGAGAGCCAGCACCGTGTAATGAATTACAGAAGCATAGAGCATTGTATTTAAAGCTACAGGGAGTCTCAGATCATAATCTAGGGCACTATTTTGCAAAATGCAGATTGGGACCCATTACTGGCTTGGGAAATCCATTTAATGAGTGACAATCAACAGTTTTTAAATGAGAGAAAGTTAAATAGATAAAGTTAAACAGGATAAAGTAGATGAAAATAGAGTGTAAATTCATAGCAAGGACTTGGCACATTGCCACAAATGCCATGGCTGAGGGTGGTGGGGGGTGGAAGAAAGGAGATGGAGCAGCATGAGGAATACACACATTGTCTGACAGCTCACGCTTTAGCAGAGTATTTGATCTTCTGATAGGAGAATCAATTCGATCATCAGCATAGAAGTTGGACTTAGCTATAACTTATCTTTCTGTTAACATAGCTCATGGTCAGATGAGAAGTGTGGGGAAGTATCCTGTGTAGGCAGAAATACCAAGGCTTGGGAGACAAACCATGACTCTTAACTCTAGGATACAAACTGAGGGTTGCTGGAGGGGAGGTGGGTGGGGGGATGGGGTAACTGGGGGATAGATTTTTTTTTTAATTAAAAAAATATTTTAAAAAATACCAAGGCTCTTCAGAAGGGGACAGTAACAGTGGCAGCACTTTTCAATAACAATAATCACCACAACAATAATCAGTTTAATTAAACTTTTACAAGTAGCCCATAAATGAATCATTTATTTTTAGAAGGAAAAAAAAAAAGAATGATAAGATGAAAATCACATAGTAATTTTCACCTTCAGCTGGTGAACCTAAAAATGGGATAGTGGCAATTCTCAGAAAAACATTGACCCTAATAAGTACTTTGACTTCATTTGAAACTATTTGTAATGAAAACAGTTGCACTTTGGAGGAAATACTGAAAGTAATTTAAAGGTATGGTTTGTCACATGTGCAAAACATTTATAGATAATTGTAATGATGTTCTCGCAAATAAAATCCTAGGTTAGTCAAAATATAAGACACCTGAAAACACAGCATGTCAAACTCACTGAAAGATGGAGAATCATCTGCACAGTTTTCTTATTTTTATTGATTTATACTCATTGGTGGAAATCTTATTATTGTCACTTCATTTCATATTCGTGATACAAGAGATTGTGATTTCTACAGCTGCTAAAAAGATTACTCTTCCTGCAGGTATGGATTTGTTACATATGGTTTTTATGACAATTCCGCTGATAACAAGCTATCCCTCTCAGGATCTGTGCTTTGGCAGGTCATTCAGAAACAGTCCGTGTACAACCCCATTCTGAGTGAGATGTTTGCAATCCAAGTCGTGGTGCTTTGCTGTTGCTAAGTCACCTAAAATTATAGTTTGTTAGGTGTGTTTGACAAGGTGCTTTTATGGAGAAAATGTGTTGTTTAAATTTAGTGTCATGTAAAAGTAGGTTCAAAATACCGAAAAAGTGTGTCATTGGTCAATGTCAATTAAACTGGGGGAAAATGTGAAAGATTTAAGTGAAAAAAAAATGTGAAGGATCCCATATACAAGAATAATCAGAAAAGACAACAAGCTATGGGATGGTTGGAATTACTGTTTTATACATTGTAAAGCTTTAACATACAAAGAAATTTTACCAAATCATGGATGATCAAAAGATCTGTAGGGAAAGTTGTTGATTGTCTTTCAAAGCAATCCCAGCTGACTGTGTCTAACAAAGTTTACTTGTAGTAAGTAAAAACATTAAACAGTGTGTCTGAACTCAGAAATCAGATTTGCACTTCTCTAGGCAAAAGGCAATATGATTTGGCAAATATTTACAAAGATGATACTCGGGTGACATAACTGACATACTTAACTGATGATATTAGTGTTTTAGCATACAGAATTAGAAACGTAAGAAGGGGACAGTGTTCAATACCAGGCTGCGTTCAACAAACTGGACATAGCCTGGGCAGTATTGCTCTGGCAAGCACCTGAGTAATCATTCAGCTCCCATATCTTCCCATTACTGCAACATCATTAAATAAGAGAACGTTATTAAATAAGACCATTTTAAGAAAATGAAATAGGAGGGACTGTTGTATCTCAATTATTGGTCTCAAACTTTTATTTATTACTTTGCAAAAGGAAAAAAAATTGAAACACTAAAGAAAGAATTAAAAAATGTATTTGCAAAAAAATAAAAATTAAAAAATCTGTTTGCTTTTCAAAACCCTAAATCAATAATGAGTTAAACTTCTTACCCAAAGAACGGAAAGAATTATTTCAGCTGAGTTCCTGATTAACAGGAAAGAATGATTGTAAGACATTAAGTTCATCATCACTTTTACTTAAGAATAAAGAATTATGTAATTGAAATTAAGTAGCTGTGAAATAGAGTACATCATTGTCTAGCCATTCTCCCTGTCATGTAGACAAGTCTTGTTAGAAACAGGTTAATAAGCACAATTATCCTTATATGTCCCCAACTGCAATAAACCTTTGAAAACAATCCCCACTGATCACCCCAAGTTTGTTTCTGTATTGGTTTTCTTGGGATTTGTCTAGACCTTGTTTAAATATCAATATTATATTTATTATTAACTTCTGTTTTTACTTTATCATATGTTTTAGGAGTAACAATTGTATCATGAAATGTGCGTGTGTGTTTACAGAAGTGTAGTTTTCCAGCTGTGGATCATTCTGCGTTGGAAACAACGAAGTTCCCAGAGTCAAAGGAACTATTAATGCCTGGGCCAGTGTTACTTTTACTCTATGACAATGGCAGTATTTTGTCATGGATTAAAATGTGCAGTATTAGAGGCAGAGTTTGGGGAATCACTGGAAGAGAATCTTTAAGGGGCCAGAGAATGAAAAAAATTGAAGACTGGATTAGAAGGCATGGTCACTTCCATATTTCTTCCCAAACCCTCTCCCTACCTTTCCTTCACAAGGTGTTGGATCCTGATACTACACATTAAGAAATATGTCATTTTGGAAGCCATGCTTATAATTAATAGTCACATGAAATAGGCTTTCAGATCTAGAAAGTGTGCAATTCTGAATTATCATTTTTTGTGTTTTTATTACCTGTTCTTATCTTGCAATTTGTTTATTTCACTGGTCTGATCCAAAATCTGTTTTTCCAATTTGTTGGTGGAAAGGGAATGTTCCAGAAGCTGAAGTTCAAGTCTTGTTGTCTGATTTAATACCTAAATGTAACAAAATAAAATTCCTATTTGTCATGTTTAAAGTTACATATAACTTCCTTTTAATTAAGTCAGCTAAATTATAGGAAAACATAACTAAAGCATTTTTTTTTATTTACCCAAGTATCTTATTTTGGCATATTCTTCATTTTCAGAAAAGGCTTGAGGTCCTGGATTGCATCAGAATGTGTTTTTTTTCCACCGTGTCTTTTTTTGGAAAGTGTTTAATAGTTCCGGACAGTGGTATTTGTGTCAAATAATATAATGCTGTTCTTCTTGTTCTGCCATATTTTAGCATTTCTTTTCACACAGTGAGACAAGTGGGAGCATAAAATGGTCATATTTAATACATCAGAAGTTGTTGATAAATGAAAAAGGTTTTGCTTCCGCTCAAAACAAAATGTTGTTCTCTTATTTATCAGTAGACGACATGATTAGAAGTCACATGCTTCCATTCTATAAAACCATAGCTCATTTTTAGCCCGGCATTTCCTAGTTTGTATTCACTTGTTTAGCCTTTTTTTTTTTTCATTTCTCTCTCTCTCTCTCCCTCTTTTAATTTTAAAAATCATATTGACCAATTAAGAAACAATAATACATCACTATGAAGTGGGAGCTCAGTTTTACTCTGTGGGCCTCTCTGGCATACGCCATATGCAATATCGCTGTTCCCATTGTGTTCTAACAAATTTAAGGATGAATTCTTTGGCATTTGGTTGCCTTCTAGCAGGAAGAGTCCGTTACTCACATCCTCTGGGTCATGGTTATTCAGGACGTGACATCACGTGTAAGTGTAAGGCAGAATTGTTGCCCAGGAATAAGGGTCCTTGAAAGAACCATTGTTTGCTCAGGGTCTGTGTCATTCATAAAAGGCTTGGCCAGGTCCCACTGGGCAGCTTTAGGGATAGTCCTGTCCTTAGTCAAAGCAGGATGAGTTCATACCATGAACAGTCTTATGAATGAGTGAAGGCATTGGCCAGCAGAAAGGTTGGGTTTTAATATTAACACCTGGACTATAGATTTGGCCTACATATTCTTTGGGCCCAAATACTCTGTGTTGCTTATTGCTAAAAGGAACTGGAAACGGGTCTTTTATTCAACTCCTAAGGGCTATAAAATGAGCACAATGGGCCAGAGGTGGGGAGGATGGCATATAGGTCCACACTGACCCAGGATCAATGGTGATGTTTTCCATCACTTTTCCCAAAGGCCTCCAGCTTCTGGTGACTATCTAAATTACCCAGGTCAGGTGGTTGTCTGTTTTCTCTAAGATATCAGACCTCCACCTATCCCTCATTGTCCAGTTGAATAGCCTCTCACTCTGACAGGCTACAAGAATCCTCTAATCAGAAAATTTTATGTTTGGATTTGAACCCATTTCACACAGTAGATTTAGTGCATAATTTGGTCCCTTGATGTCCTTGCTTAGGTTCAGCCATTTTAATGTGTTTAGCTGGACATTAAAGGCTGTTTTCTTTCCAGTCACCTTCCAATTTTCCTGTTATCACAGATCATATGATATCTAGTTTCACAATAGATTTTTTTAAAGAAGTCGTGTGACCCAACAAAAGTTAAATGAAAGCTAGAAAGCCTGCCTTACACAGGACGTAGTAACAGTTTACAGCATTGCTTTATGTCTTACACTTGATTACCATTGTCTGAAAATATAAGAACTGTTATACTCTCCAGACATTTTTTTGGATGAGCTTGATTTCCCACTAGTTTTGCTATCAAAAGGTGGGGGACGTGGCTTAAACATTAATAATTTATTTTAATAATTATGGATATATTGATACATTTACTTTAAAATTGTTATCTTTTATCACCTCTTGAGATTACAATTTTCATATCTTGTGATCTGTCGTGTAATATTGTTATATTTTTCCTACATTGTTCTAATATTGTGGAAAGATTTGGTAAAGAAGTAACTTCTTATTCTGTCTCAGATAAAAATCTTTTATTCTCCAACCACTTTCCTACTGTTTTCCCTACTTTATCCAACAGTCCTTAGGGGGACAATGAAAGAATAACTGTACCATTCTAGACGTGATCTTATTTCAGTTGAGAGCCTTATCATTTCTCTTACCTCATATCCCCTTCTGTTGATGTCTGGCATTTCTTTTAGCTGAAGTAGCATATAGGAATATACATTGTAGAAATTATTTACTATTAAATCTTCTTTCTCTCTCTCTTCCTCTCTCTCTTTTTTATTAAAGCATTACTTACAACTCAGAGTAGGAAGGTACTAACTTCATAAGCCTATAAAGAATCCAGGGTTAGGAACCAGAAAGCAGATTCACCAATGAAGAGACTTGAACTGGGAGCATCTTAATAAATTCCACCAATAGTCCTTTTTTCCCCACCAGACTATTCTTTTTTTTTTTTTAAGATTTTATTTATTTGAGAAAGAGACAGAGCATGAGTGGAGGGAGGGGCAGAGGGAGAAGCAGACTCCCCACTGAGCAGTAACCCCCCCCCCCACCCCCCAGGCAGGGCTGGATCCCAGGACCCTGAGATCATGAACTGAGCCGAAGTCAAATGCCCAACGACTGAGTCACCCAGGTGCCCCCCACCCCCACCCCCGGACTATTCTTACTCAGTCACACATGTGTCATTTGTCATGACTCGATGAATTTTGTTGCAGTTTTGATGTTTAATGTCTTGGTGTTATTCTTTTGTTATTTTCATATTCCTGTCTCCTACTGCTGTTAATCAGCAGCTCGTAAAATCTGAAAGCTAAAAGGGCACTTAGCAGCCAGTTGTAAGACCCAGCCCTCACTTTATAGTAGAACCCGCTGAGGCCCCCAAGAGCTGAGTGCCTTTGCTCAGATTCGCTCCCCCAGCTACTGGCGGGACTAGAGCCATCAGGGGACTCGAAGCCTTCTGCGGATGGGTAAGCCCTCTGTACCACAGCCGCTGCTGCATGTGAGCTCTTTGCTGCTTTGTCTATGAACTCATACCACAGATTGTCTTCACAGTTCTTTGAGGTTTGGTTTTATCTTAAAAGTTAGATTGAAGAACAAAGTTCCTTGCACTCTCTTCAGTGCCTTTCATTTCTCAAATGCACAAAAAAAGTTAAGGACTTATCCAGAGTCCAAAAGATACCCAGCGAGGTAGAAGAGCATTTATCTTGTAGTTGTTGAGTATGCATCATATGAAATGATTCACATGTCGTTAGAAAAAATGTAATTTAACTTCAGTATTAAAGATGAGAATGGGGACACATGGGCGGCTCAGTCGGTTGAGCGTCCAACTCTTGATTTCAGCTCAGGTCAGGATCTCAGGGTCGTGGGATCGAGCCCCGTGTCTGGCTTCACGCTCGGTGGGGAATCTGCTTGGGATTCTCTCTCCCCCCCCCCCGCTCCCCTGCCACCCCACTCTCTAAAATAAATAAATAAATCTTTAAGGAAAAAAAAAAAGATGAAAATGTATTTACTGATTTTAAATTCTTATCTAACCGCAAATTCTCATTTTCGTATCAATTTTTTTCTCCTGCTACCGTCGAGCTTTCTTCATTTTTCCACTATTTAATTGGGTAACCATGCAGCCCGATTTCTTGCTAGTCGCTAATCTAGCTGGACTGTTAATGTGTTTTCTGTTCCATTACTTACTTGTGCTTCAACGTCTGTTAACTTCCGTGTTTGCTCTGCTGTTTGATTGAGTAGGTTTGTTCCTATTTCTATCATCACAGCGGTCTGGTTCTGTACCGCATTCTGTTGCATCTCTACCATTTCTCTCTTCATGTTGTCCTGGATGTAATTCTCAAGCTAGAAAAGAACATGTGTCAGAAAGACAGTCATCAGTCAAATGGTCAGAAACCTCATTCCTAAGTATTTTCCCTTTTCCTTTAAAAAAAAAAAGTGTTAGAAGACCCGTGCCTTGCTCTAATCTTGCTGTGTTTTTATCACTAGTAGTACAATGCAGTGTGGTTTTATGTTGACTTAAAACCGGCAGCTTGGTCACATCATGTGTAGGAGACAGCCATCTCTAGAAGCCCACGCTGTGACCGGCATGGGAGGTGGTGAGGCCCCCACTCAGAGGTGGGCAGAGGGGGGTGCCGTCAGCAGGCATTCTGTCCAGCTGCAGCTCTGTCCTCGTTAGGCAGGAAAGGACAATTTGGTATTAAGAAGCATCACTATTTCTCCCACATACTAGACTTATGGTTTCTTGAAATAGAGACTTGAGAAGACTGTGTAAGAGCATGAGGAGAGGCTCACCATTGGATTACCCCGTCATTCACAGCATCACCCCTCAGTTTCACATTCTGCAGCCCGCCCCCCCCCCGACTTGCCTCTACCTTGTTCAGCACACATTAGACCCAGTCAGTCTTTCCTAACATGTATGTGTTTTTCACAAGTTCTTTATTCCTGATACCAGGCAAATGTGTAATCCTACACTAGGATTTTCATCACGCCACATGCCGGGTATGTGGGCATGCCAACTCATTTTAATATTGGCTTCAGCACAAGAGAGTGAAGAAGCTAATGTCACTGCCATAGGTATAGGTACCTATTATCTTTGACAGTAAAATCATACAACTAAATACAAATGTAGGACATCCAGGCATGTGGGAAAGAGCATGTGGGCTTTAGGCTATGGACACCTGCTCTCTTATTTTTCTTTGACTCTAGGGATGTTGCTTAATTTTAGGGGTGCCTGGTGTCCCCCTGTATAGAATAGAGTTTCTGATGGGTCAGAGAAATGTTTAAAGCCCGGTGTCCCCGTGTATAGAAGAGAGTTTCTGACGGGTCAGAGAAATGTTTGAAGCCTGGTGTCCCCATGTATAGAAGAGAGTTTCTGATTGGTCAGAGAAATGTTTGAAGCCCGGTGTCCCCGTGTATAGAAGAGAGTTTCTGACAGGTCAGAGAAATGTTTGAAGCCCGGTGTCCCCGTGTATAGAAGAGAGTTTCTGACGGGTCAGAGAAATGTTTGAAGGATTAACTAAGCTGTGCTTTTAGTCATTGTGTGTGTGCATAACTTTGGATACGTAAAATGTAATTTCCTTTCTTCTTTGTTTTTCATGGTAATCCAATGATAGGAGCCACAATTCTATTCTTTAACCCAAACTACAAGTTCACAAGGACAGAAAACCTTATTTTTTTCTCATAGTTCTAACTCAGAATTTTTAAAATTAAATTGAATAACTGAAAGATGAGTATAAAATGGCTTATAACGCCTTTCCTTAAAACTTGTAATTCTCTGCACAGAAACCATGCATAGGGCCAGTCATCAAACATCGTTTCTCCTAAAATCTTAACCATGAAGCAATTCTGTATTTCTGCCTGTCAAAGTGAGAAATAGGAATGGTGGAGTTTCTCCCCTAGAGTTTAAGGGCTTCTTTGTTGGCGCAGTTTTTATAAACTGTGCCTTGGGTGGTATAATAAGTCTCAGTGTTGGTATTAGAACTCTGGGTTTGCTGCCTCCATTTCTTGCTTGCCATTGATTCTGTCCCTACCCCTGTGTGCTTATCTCCCTCCTTGCTAGTTATCTGAGAGTTAACGTTCACTTCCGGGTTCTCCCCTGGTCAATGGGCAGATCAGATAGCACCATCCTGACAATTCCTGCAGCTCTGATCTCTTGTAAAATCTTATAGTTGAAGCCTTTCCTTCTCCATATGAATAAAAATAGATTATACCACTGTCAAAAATGAAATCATGTGCTATTTCTTGGCAGTCCAAGAAATACCCCTAGTATAGACTTCATAAAATCGGAAGACTAAAACCCTTGTTAAGCCTGTATTAACTAGCTAATGATAACTAGCTCAAGCTTTTTAGTGCCTGTGTCTTTTCTTAATGTATTCTTCTTCCCTTCCCCTGCCTTTTTAAAATTTAACTTTTATGATTTAAACAATTTATAAGAACTCAGACAGAAGTTTATTTCTCCTTTCTTTCCCTCTGTCTGTGTCTCTCTCGTTCACATACTCTCACACACACACTCTCTCTTTCACTCTCTCTCATCACCATGGGAGTAATAGAATTTTTGAGGTTAAAGTTAAAGCTATATAAGTCATCCAGAGGAGTTGTCTTAGTTACTCTTAACACCCAGCAAAGATAATATTTAGAAAGACTTATTCTGGGAAGTTTGGACTCATTCAAGATATATTCAAGCTGGAGTTTGGTTTAAGTCCATACTCTAAAGTAATAATTTATAAACTAGCATAAATAAAGGTCTTAATCCTCTTATTGATTTTAGTACTTAACTATATAAAAATGATTCAGTCCTTTGTCGCTCTAAATCATTTACCAGAGGAGGAAAATGGGTCCTTCAGTCCTCCCCCACCCCATTCTAGAACTACTGAGTGAAATGTGGTTATAACCGCCAGGACACATGAGAAACTTATTTATAATTTGACATTTTAAAGTCAATTTTCCATTTAAAATTAGTCTCAAGAACTTTAAAAGACATAAAAGACCCAGTTTTTAAAAGTAAAAAATTTTAACTTTATTGCCATAATTTTTTCTAAGCTTGAAAACAATAGAAAAGAAAATACTTTCAAGTCACTATTCTTCATCTTTTCAGGAGGATGGAGTACATGTTTGTGTGGGTATGTATAGATCTTACATACATAGTATATATGTGGCTAGTATCTATATACAGTATATACACTAAATAAAGTAAAATTCTGTATGCTACTGATCCAGTATCTAATTGAAGTCTTGGGGAGAAAAGTGGGACAGAAACAGAAATATCAAGAAGTAGACGTTTTTGTGTTGATTCTCAAAGAGACTTGTGCTCTCACACTTGAAGCAGTGAACGTAAGTTAAGATTTTAAGAGAAATGGGTGCTGTGACAGTTGAGTACTCTTCAACAACAAAGAAGAACGTATTTCATCCCAGAAGCAATAGCAACAAGAACAGCCACAGTAACCGTAGTTAATGTTTGCTGCGTGCTGCAGATGTTCCTGCTCCTCTGTTCGCTCTTTCCAGGGACTCCAGGCACCCCGGATCTTAGGCGCGTGCGCTAGGACTGGCATGGTAGTTCAGCCCGGGCACCACGCCACCCTATTCCTGCCTTTTCCTTCTTTCTAGTTTATTGCTCCGGAATGTATTTCTGTTTAGTATCACTTGTTTTTATTGCCTGCAGCTGAAACCCAGCAATATAGAAATCTGCCCAGTGCAATTCTCTTCTACTATAAGGAGGTCTTCGTTCAAGGAAAAATGTGAGATGGGTAGGATCTCCCCTGCTCTATTGGCAGTGTCACGCTCCCCTCTCCTTGGACAGCTGTTTCTGTCTTTGCCATCTGCATTTAGCTGCTCTTCTCAAAACAGTTCCAAGATACTTGAACCTCCCCAGGGAGGAGACGGGGTTCTTCCTTATTTCACACGGGTGGCTTCGCACACTCATGTTTGGCAGGAATGTTTGACATTGCCTTCATGTCAGAAGATGATTATGCACTGATTCTGATTTGTGAGGCTAAGTGCCCCCCCCAAAAAGGTCCCCATTACCATTTGAAAGGATGGTGTGGACATTCATTTTGCCCCTTCTTAAATTATTAGTCTAAGCACTGAAAGTCCTTAAGCTGTTTCTCTTTCCTTAGAGTTCAAGTGAATTATCCAAATTCAAGGAACAGTTCAAGGCTATCACTGTCATTGTAGTTGCATGGATTGTTGCTCAGTATTGGTTTGATTTGTTAAAAAAGAATGCACTCTAAACATAGCCTTTCAGAAAAGTTGGCAATGCATTGAAGTTCAAGCAACCGGAGTAAACTATTTTAACTTACATAAAGATATATATATTTAATGTAAAATATGTCCTGAAGGTTTTGATTACTTCTCCAACATTTGGAATGATTAAATTTGACAGGAAAAATAAGTCTGTTTGCAAGGTAACTATGGCAGATTGATTACATATTAAAACGCTTTCCTTGCTATCTTTCATCTCTCCAAGATTATCATCATGTTTTTCAACCAAAAGGAAACTAATCTTGAAATTGGCTGGGGAAAGGAAAACAGAGAGAGTGTACGAAAATTATCCCCAACTTCAAGATTTTGATCTTGGTCTTGTACCACCTATGTAGTCCTGGTTGAGAGATCCTTTCTATTTTAAATAGAGCTCAGTGCCCTGATACCTTTTAATTAATTAGTTTTTGTCCTCTGAATGCTCTAACTTCCCTGGGAAATTAACAAATTGTGGGAGGCTTCACTGGAAACATTTTATCTCTAGCATTGCAATTTAGAAACAAATTACTATAACTGTTCTCTCTTGCCCACACACATCCCCAAAAAGGATGTTTTTTTTCTACCTCAGTAATCCCTCCTGACTTGATCCCTTCTTCCTGCCCAGTGTCTACCATCTTCTGTCTTCTGGATTGTCACACAGCCCCCAACTGTACTCCGGCAACCCCACCCCGAGTGTTGTGGTCACTGTGCAACTCACATTACTCCCTCGTGGTTGTGCCTGTAAGATGAAGTGCAGATGAAGTGCAGATTCCCTCTCTTGGCAGCACATACTCCTTCTGATCTCTCGAATCTCCCAGCCTAGTTTCCTCTGTGCACCTTCCTCCTGGCTGTGCCAGACCCCTTAGGCTGCTTCAGACCTCCCGCCTTTGTCTGCCATCTCCCTTGGCCTGGGTCCCTTTCCCCCTTCTGCAGTGATACCCTACCCCATCGCATGCCCTCCTCAAAGATCTCCACTGCACTCTTGTGTTGCCTTTTGATATCCCAAAAAACCATTTTGTACTTGTTTCATTGATTTTTAAATCTCCTATGACTATAGATTTATGTTCTTGTTTGCTCGGGGTATGGACATCTGTAGCCCTTCTTCAGCC